ATGGTTTTATGAGCGGCAGATCAACAACTACCAATCTCGTTAGCTTTATGTCTGCTGCATCTCGTGTAATATGTAACAGAGGTCAGTTGGACGTTGTCTACTTTGACTTAAGTAAGGCTTTTGACGTAGTCAATCACATTATTCTTTTATCCAAACTTTCCTCCTATGGAGTATGTGGCTCAGTACATGGCTGGTTAAAAAGCTACTTGTCAGAGAGAGAGGCATATGTCCGGGTTAACAACATGAACTCTTCGTTGTACAGGACTCGCTCTGGCGTTCCTCAGGGATCTGTTTTAGGACCTCTTCTGTTCACAATTTTCGTAAATGACGTCTCTTTTGCTGTTTTAAATTCTTCATTCCTGCAATATGCTGACGATATAAAAATTTATCGAGAAATAGTTAGTGAACGTGATTGTGCTAAGCTCCAGGAAGATGCATGTTCTTTCTACCGATGGTGTTCTGAAAATGACCTTCTCTTGAACCCGTCCAAAACCAAGGTCATGACGCTCTCTCGGAAAACTCACAATATCTCTTTTGCATATAATATTCAAGGAGAGACTTTGTCTCGAGTAAGTGTAATGAAAGATCTCGGAGTCATGGTTGATTCTGGGTTGCGTTTCTCTGATCACGTTGGTAAACTGGTTAACTCGTCTTTGCGAATGTTGGGTGTTGCCTCTCGCTTAACCAGGGAGTTCAAAAACCCGACGGCTTTTATCACGTTATACTGCTCGCTATCCAGGTCACAGTTAGAATATGCCTCAGTTGTTTGGAATGGAATTTCTAAAAGTCACTCCTTGGAGATCGAACGTGTGCAAAAAAAGTTTGTTTCTATCTTTAAACATCGCTACATAAAGGAGGATGTTCACTGTTTAACATATGAGTCTGCGTTAGAGCGTGTTGGTTTGCTTAGCTTGCACCGGCGTCGGGAGAACGCGGACTTACTTTTTTTGTTTAAAACGCTGCATGGACTCATCAATTCTCCGAGCCTGTTATCTGAACTGTGCCTTAGGGTCCCACGTGTGCCTACTCGTCTTCTGTCATCTTTTTATGTTTCTAGAATGTTTAGTCCGGTAAACCCAATTTTGAGAATGGCTCAGCGTTTGAATCATTACTCTGAAAATCTTGATATTTTCAACCCTTGCTACAGGACGTTTGTCCTTTCTATTAAAAACTTGCCCGTGCAGGATGAGCATTGCTGAATTGCTTTGTTATGTCTGAATGTCGTCATCTCCATGTCGTGTTTTCTGGTGGTGCAGTTGTTGTCCTTCGGTCTTGTGTTCCGTCTCTACTGTTACTGCCTCGTTTTTATTTCATTGTACTAATTACTCGTGCACTGCCTAGTATTATGCTAAAAATGTATCTTATTTTCTGCAGAGATGTGTATAGTGTGTTTTTTTGTTTTTTGTTTTTTTTTATCCACCAGTGTACCAGCACCAAGACCTCAGGGTTGTTCCTGGGCACTGTATAATAAAGATTGATTGATTGATTGATTGATTGATTATTATTATTATTATTATCGTCACTCTTCATTTCTTCAGTACGCAGATGATATTAAGATGTTTATGGAGGTACGAGAAGACCGAGACTGTGTTTTGCTACAGAGAGATGTTGATGCTTTTGAAGAATGGTGCCGGGGGAATGACCTAAAGATAAATAGCTCTAAAACGAAAGTCGTGTCGTACACTCGTAAGACACATAACATTGTATTCCCATATGTTATTCAGACAGACCTTTTGGAACGTATGAACAGAATCAAAGATCTTGGCGTAGTGTTTGACAGCACCTTAATCTTCTCCAGTCATGTGGATCACATCGTGAACGCAGCTCTGCGCACGCTCGGTAGTGCGTGCCGCATCACTAAAGAGTTTATTAACCCCTGCACATTTCTTATACTCTACAGTGCATTGTGTCGACCACAGCTTGAATACGCTTCTGTTGTATGGAATGGAATTTGTGCCACAAATTCCTTGAAAATAGAACGGGTTCAGAACAAGTTTCTTTCCATCTATAGACATCGTTGCTCAGCGCGCATTGTACCCACCACTACTGATGTCCCTGTCCCTGTTCAGCGTAGCGTGGCACTACCTACCCTGCTTCGTAGGAGAGAACTTGCCGATATCTTATTTTTATACAAACTTGTCCACGCCGTCACTGATTGCACGGTATTGACGTCAAGAGTACTCTTAAAAATTCCTCTAAAAACAACAAGGCAAAATGCGTCCTTCTGCAACAGGCGTCTACTCAACCTCCACGATCCTGTGTCCAGACTTGGGCATACTTATAATTCTTCTTTTTCTGAAACACTCGACATATTTAACAATAACACGCTGCAGTTTGTAAAAACGTTAAAGGCCATCACTTAAATTAGAACTGTATGCACTAACTTGCGGCGTTCACGCCGAAATTCCCCACTTTGAATGCATTTTTTTTTTCTCTCTTTCTAGCAATTGGTGTTGGCGGTAGTACCCTTAAGCTTATCGTATGTTGTGACTTTGTGTTTACTTTTTATAATTTTTAAGTGTATTTTTCTAGGGCTTGTCCGTTGTTTGTGTTGTCCATACTATTGCTTTATACCCTGTTCTGCCTTACATGTTAACACAGTGCACCTGTACCAAGACCGCAAGGTTGTTCCCGGGCACGAATAAAAACATTGATTGATTGATTGATTGATTGATTGATTATTATTATTATTATTATTATTATTATTTTTATTATTATTGAAACAGTGCAAGGGGTGGAGCGCGCGAGCGTCTTCAGACGCGGTTTGCACGGCTCGGGTTGAGACGGTCCCGCTGGGCTCGTGCGCTGGCTTTGGCAGTGTTGCTTTTTTTTTCCCAGTCTCAGCCGAGACTCTCTTTCTAGCGAGTCCGCCCTGGTTTGGAACGAACGTTCGTTTATTCTACCGTTGAATATGGACATGACGACCACCTCACATGCGCCAAGTTTTCAGTCACTAGGAGTAATAACCTTTTTACTCGAGCGACGCTAAAACTGCTTAAGTTAGTCGAGTCGCATTTTTAAAGCTCATGATCACCGCTAGGGACTCTTTCGCGAACTGTGGTTGGCACCGAGATGCTCTCCCATGCAAACCAATGTATGGCCAAACTTTCTCAGAGTACGGCTCTGCATAGTGCCGAATATAGTATATGCCGCCCAAAATTCACCACAGCCGCGCACTGAGGTGCGCAAGGCATCGCACGTGCTGCGCTACAGTCGTTGTTAGGGGTCGGCTGTTCCCGTCGCCGCCGCGATTCGACTCCAATCACCACCCGAACACTGTCGAAGCATTGACTGTTATGAGACCTAATGAGACCAAGCCGTGTGCTCCCGCAGTACTCATGTGCAATCTAGGAGCTGCATTTGAATATAGTTATTAATTATATTCCCGCGACCACGGCAACACGACACCCGTTACTACGTCATTATGTTTGGCGAGGGGGAAGTTGGAATAAAAAGTCCACACGTATCGTCGAAATTACACCGCGACGAAGACGCTTCATGATCGGTGGCATTACGTTTAAAAACACTAAGATAGGACAAGTGCCGGTAGGTTTGTGTAAAAACAAAAACACGTCACACCCTAATGTTGTTCCTTTAGGGGTGAGCGCGTTGGTTTCCTATAAAGACTTGATAAATAATGAAAAACCTAACAGGACACGAACATCACATTCGTAAAAACTGTACTTTATGTATTCTGTTCCTATATAATTTCTTCCCTATCGCTCCGAGGCATTTTAAATAATAATATTACTACTTGCTACTTTCGCTAATGTTGCTACGACTGCTAATACTCTTTCTTTTATTCCTGCTCCTATTTTTGATAAATATACAGTCACCTTTACTACTTATATTATGTAATAAAATTAAACGAAGACAAATTAGACAGCTTGCGTGTAGGAGTGAAAAAGCATTCCCACACGAAGTGCATTCCTGCAAGCAGCACGCCACGTCTTCATTTGTCACACGGCGCTCCGTCGGTGACGTCACGCTCCCCCACTGCGCAGGCGCGGCACCTCCGCCGGCTCCACGGCTTCCGTGACGCTGCATATGCGTTGCTATGCTTTTCCTTGTGTTTTATTTGTGAGGCGCGTCCCATTTAACCTTGAGCGACCCGCCGCCTTCCGGGACGAGGCATCTGCGTTGCTGTGCTCTGCTTTGTATTTCATTTTTTTTCTGAAGAGCGTCCGCTTTGTAGCCAATGGGAATTTGTGTGCCGTTTCGCTCATTTAAAAGCAATTTATTGGCCGTTTTGCTCAGCCAATGATCAATGCCAGCCAATACTTTCGCAATTATATTTTGATATTCTAATATTTATTGCAGCATCCCAACTGGTAGGACCGGTCGTAAATATTAAGCAGAAATCAGCCTCATCACCAGGCTGAACGGCGGACGGTATTGCACGTGGCCATTGCCTCCGCATCTATGTCTACCAGTCATGGTCGAGATGGTTGTTTGCCTAAACGCAACACTAGGAGGCTTTAGGAATTGTAGCTGGATCGTTAGCTTTCTGTTCCTGCCAGCCTCTTTAGTAGTCAACATGATCATGTGGAGTTGGGTATGATATAAGGGGTGTTATCGATTTCATAAAACAATTGTCAACAACGTTATGCACTTGTTGCACGTTGAAATTATTTTGTGCTATGTACCGTCCGTAGTCTATATAAGAAAATATGTGATCATCTAAATATACATCAAAAAGATGACTGACTACGTCTTTCCCATGAAATTCGATGGAAGGACGCATGGTCTTGCAAATGTAAAAAAAATGGTTCGTGTACTAGCTCTGCACAGAATAAATAGAAAGCCAATAAGTACCTTTCGTGCTATTACTAAACAACAGAATTGTGTAATGGCCTCAGTAAAGAAAAATTCACAGATAAATATATTTTGGAAAAATATATAAAACAGGGCATCTCTCATATAACTAATACCCGCAAAATCACAACAATAACAAAAAAAAAAGCGCGAAGACAGCGGGAAAATGTTTTCTTGTGACTTACGTGCATAGTACCGTTGGGGCAAGCTTCGTTTGGCAACGGCACCGTCTGGTCTCCGCATCCGAACTCGCACGTGCCAAAATTCCAACCATTATAATTCTGCATTGCATCGACATATAATGTCACAAAAAAGGCTCGAGGTACACCTAAGCACTTCTTATGAGTTGTGAATGCGAAAGCATGTACATCATTCTTCCACTGTTTTATTTCCTCTGCAGCGTATTTGCGTCGACGGCGTCAACTAGAGTTCCTGGATAGGCTCCCTACGTTAGCCAGAATTGCGCGTCTGTTTTCCAAGCGGCGCCGCGCCGCTATTCGCCGAGATCCGATCACGTGAGGAGGCGGATCAAGTGCCGTGCAAGAGAGTAGACGTTGCGCGTGCCCCGGCCTACGTTCCCCTGCTTTTGAGCGCGCCGTGCGCCTCGAACGCGCGGCGCCGCTATTCGCCGAATTCAGTCACGTAACGACATGATCAACCTGCCGTGCGGGAAAGACGGCGCTACGGCGATGAACGCGCAACTCTGGCTCCCGTCGACTAGGGTACCCACGTGTGTGTCTGTCTCAGGGTGAAGACATCCATTGTTGCCCTGAATGTGACAGCGCGTGAGGCTCTCGCGCACTTGGTGCGTGACTTGGGAGGCAGAATGTCATCTATGCATCCAAAGCTACGCGCTTGAGCGGAGTGACACCGGATTGCGCGCACTTCAAAATTCATAAAAAAAACGATTGGACGAAAAAATAGCCGAGAGGTCACTACTCAAGCAAAAGCACGTGTGTGTATCAACATCATTGGTGTGTGTATGAAGATATGAAGGCACTCTACCGTCGACCAGAGCCGTATATGGGGAGAGTTTGGTCAGTCTATGGATCTCGCCGCCGCAACGCTCTCCTCCCGAGTGAGCCAATCAGCACGCGGCGCAGACCGAGGGGCATGAGCGCATGCGCGTGAACTCCCGGCTGCTCCCAGCTGAGTGGATAGGGCCGCCACTTTCGTTCATTTTCGTAACGGAAGGCGTGGGATTGGCATCTAAATCTCGATTATTTCCTTTTATATCGCTGGCTTTTGCAAGAAAATGACATACTGTTATTCTTTGGTGGGTGAAAAAGCAAATACATTTAAATTTTCCGGCGTATGGCCAAAAACGTTTTTTTAGGCGAAAAAGAAGTCAGTCCGTAGCAGACGACGCGTAGCCTCAGCAGTGCTCTTCTCGGACGAGTCTCCGACAGCGTTGCGAAAAAATATGGCGGTCGTCTCTTCTATGCTCCCTTCTTTCTCTCCCGCTCCTTCGGCGCTCTCCTCCCGTTCATTTACTTTTTTCCTCTCCGGCGCCTTTATCGCTACACCCACGGGCCAAACTCTCCCCAATATACGGCTCTGCCGTCGACGGACACGCAGCGCCATGGGGTGGCCAGTCGTTGAAACTGATGCGCAGCGTGTTTCAACAACCGGCCACCCCATGGCGCTGCGTTTCCGCCCATTGTAGAGTTCCTGTATTCGCGACTCCAGCGACCTATAGGGGGCGCCACCACCCAACAAACATGGCGGCTGAGTCCAGGTCGCGTCAGCTCGGCCGGGCTGCCTGAACAAGTGGCGCATTCAATTTGACAGATGTTCTTTTGTTTAATGCCAAATTTTATAGGTATCTGAACTGAGATGGTTACGTGTGGCCGGTGCACATAAACTTGCAAAGCATAGTTTTGTTTTCCCGTCGTTTTTTGCTCTTTTCATGTCAAACTTTCGTTTCGGAGATTTCGTTCGAAACCGAAACTATGGGCCCCGGAGAGACGGTAATAGACTTTAATCAGTTTTGATCATCTAAGAAAAGCGGCGATGACCACAGAATTGTTCTACCGAGAGTAATTTTCAGCAAACTCGCATGCCTCGACCATGCGACTTATCTGTCCACGAAATCGAGCTTTTGTGCGGTCAACAACACAGGCTGCAGGAAAATTATGAAAATTGAGCGAGAGCTTCTTGAGCCGAGGAGCATTTTAACCCGCTGGCGCCCCACAACGCAGCTGATACTCTTATTTCAATTCTGGTTTTAGTAGCAATCGAGAAATCATTTTGACGAGCGGGTTATGTATTATATTACGAACTGTATCCCACTAAAGCGATATTAGTATATTCTTCGGGTTGAAATATGAGCTTAGTTGACTAGCTATTAGATGAACTGCTGAATAATATTTGACAGACAGAGAGATACTACTTAAACTCAGCCAAATGGTTCTAGCCGGTAGCACGGAGACAAATGCGGACGAACTGAAGAGAGTCTTCATCGCAGATTCACGCAGAACCTCTCTGGATTGAACTTGACCTCGAATCCTGAACGGAGAAAATGAGCATTTTCTGTGGCCGGTAAACCTGAGCAATGTAGACGTATATTGCTGATGGCTTCGACGGGGGTATAATATAAATATTGGAGGCGCGATAGATCATAATGCCGTGACTGCTTCTAACTTTGCGAGACGCGTCCTCCACCTTTTGAAAGCAGACAATTTCCCTCATTAATCATATGCAGCGAGCAGGTTTTCCTGAATCAAGTAATTGCGAAATCAGCCCAACTCCTTCAGTGTGGTTCAGAGGCTTGTTCGGCGAAAAGCAGCCAAGATGAATAGCCAATGCACCGACCGGCGTGGATGGCACAAACTTGAGGCTAATCAAACACAACCAAACTCAAGAAAAGCAGCTGTCGAACCTTCCCATTCACTTGACTGCAACGTTGGTGTTCCCTCCAGTGAAACACCTCGTCTGTCGTCCTCAGTCCACTGTTCTACATCCTTATAAAGAAACCACTTATCAGTCACCGAGTTGTCGTTACTTTGAATGTGATTCGAGACAGACAAGAAATCGAAACGGTTTTCCGTGAATCCTCCCCATCCAAGAAATCAAAAGCACGCGACCGTCTGTTGTGGAGTAAACGGCTTTCAAACACGCGATGGAAGGAAAAAATCTACTAAGGCTTCACCACACTAATGAACACTCATGCCAACTTTCGGACCCTCGTCAAATTACATTGTTCGCCACCGCGCCGACAACACGTGTCCGCGAAAGCCACCAGAGACGCAGAGGGGCGCGGAGCTACCTGGACCGGCCGGTTCCCGGTTTTCCCGCTTGGTGGCGTCCGTTTTGCTGGAGTCGCGAATTCGCGACTCCAGCAAAACGGACGCCACCAAGCGGGAAAACCGGGAACCTCGCGACTCCAGCAAAACGGACGCCACCAAGCGGGAAAACCGGGAACCGGCCGGTCCAGGTAGCTCCGCGCCCCTCTGCGTCTCTGGTGGCTTTCGCGGACACGTGTTGTCGGCGCGGTGGCGAACAATGTAATTTGACGAGGGTCCGAAAGTTGGCATGAGTGTTCATTAGTGTGGTGAAGCCTTAGTAGATTTTTTCCTTCCATCGCGTGTTTGAAAGCCGTTTACTCCACAACAGACGGTCGCGTGCTTTTGATTTCTTGGATGGGGAGGATTCACGGAAAACCGTTTCGATTTCTTGTCTGTCTCGAATCACATTCAAAGTAACGACAACTCGGTGACTGATAAGTGGTTTCTTTATAAGGATGTAGAACAGTGGACTGAGGACGACAGACGAGGTGTTTCACTGGAGGGAACACCAACGTTGCAGTCAAGTGAATGGGAAGGTTCGACAGCTGCTTTTCTTGAGTTTGGTTGTGTTTGATTAGCCTCAAGTTTGTGCCATCCACGCCGGTCGGTGCATTGGCTATTCATCTTGGCTGCTTTTCGCCGAACAAGCCTCTGAACCACACTGAAGGAGTTGGGCTGATTTCGCAATTACTTGATTCAGGAAAACCTGCTCGCTGCATATGATTAATGAGGGAAATTGTCTGCTTTCAAAAGGTGGAGGACGCGTCTCGCAAAGTTAGAAGCAGTCACGGCATTATGATCTATCGCGCCTCCAATATTTATATTATACCCCCGTCGAAGCCATCAGCAATATACGTCTACATTGCTCAGGTTTACCGGCCACAGAAAATGCTCATTTTCTCCGTTCAGGATTCGAGGTCAAGTTCAATCCAGAGAGGTTCTGCGTGAATCTGCGATGAAGACTCTCTTCAGTTCGTCCGCATTTGTCTCCGTGCTACCGGCTAGAACCATTTGGCTGAGTTTAAGTAGTATCTCTCTGTCTGTCAAATATTATTCAGCAGTTCATCTAATAGCTAGTCAACTAAGCTCATATTTCAACCCGAAGAATATACTAATATCGCTTTAGTGGGATACAGTTCGTAATATAATACATAACCCGCTCGTCAAAATGATTTCTCGATTGCTACTAAAACCAGAATTGAAATAAGAGTATCAGCTGCGTTGTGGGGCGCCAGCGGGTTAAAATGCTCCTCGGCTCAAGAAGCTCTCGCTCAATTTTCATAATTTTCCTGCAGCCTGTGTTGTTGACCGCACAAAAGCTCGATTTCGTGGACAGATAAGTCGCATGGTCGAGGCATGCGAGTTTGCTGAAAATTACTCTCGGTAGAACAATTCTGTGGTCATCGCCGCTTTTCTTAGATGATCAAAACTGATTAAAGTCTATTACCGTCTCTCCGGGGCCCATAGTTTCGGTTTCGAACGAAATCTCCGAAACGAAAGTTTGACATGAAAAGAGCAAAAAACAACGGGAAAACAAAACTATGCTTTGCAAGTTTATGTGCACCGGCCACACGTAACCATCTCAGTTCAGATACCTATAAAATTTGGCATTAAACAAAAGAACATCTGTCAAATTGAATGCGCCACTTGTTCAGGCAGCCCGGCCGAGCTGACGCGACCTGGACTCAGCCGCCATGTTTGTTGGGTGGTGGCGCCCCCTATAGGTCGCTGGAGTCGCGAATAGGCTCCTTGCATTGACGTCACATCGCACACATTTGCACACCAAGTAAAAGGAGGAGAGGGAAGCTGCTTTTGTAAGAATTTTGAGTGACGGGTTAATCTTCTATAATCTTCTGGGAGGAGAATAGCGACGCCTGTGCAAATCCGGAAGGCACAAAGGAGGGTCCTGATAAGAGGGGAGCTCCTTCTCGCCCTCTTCTCTGGAGGGTATCGGAAATGACGTAATGTGCAAGGAGCCTATAGGCTCCCTAAGGGAGCCAGAGTTGCGCGTTTGATTCCACGTGCCGCGTACCGCCCTCGCCGCCATTCGCCGAGATCCGATCAGGTGAGGAGCCGCATCGAGTGTCGTGCAGCAAAGTAGACGTTGCACGCGCCCCGGCGTACGTTCCGCGCGTGCGACGTCCACTTGCTGCTATTCGCCGAATTCAGTCACGTGAGGAGCTGTATCCACATGCCATGCATGAACGCGCAACTCTGGCTCCCGTAGGGAGCATATACAGGAACTCTAGGTAGTAATGCAAAACTATCGATAAATTAACTATCGATAGTTTTTCCAAAACTATCGATAGTGTCGCAGAACTATCGATAGTAGACTATCGGTAATACTATCGATAGTTTTTCGATAGTCGACTGTCGATAGTACTGTCGATAGTTTTTCGACAGTCAACTATCGAGAGTTTTTCGATTGTACTATCGATTCCTTTTTTACTATCGATACTCAGTTTTCTGGTGACTATCGATAATACTATCGATAGTTTTGCACTACTAGAGCGAACACAGTTGCCGCACCGCCGCTCGCTTCCCCTTCCTCCTCTCTTCGCCCAAATTCCCGTCTTCGTCATCACTGAAAGCTGAACCGAAGTTGAGACGGTAATTGCTTGGGCTAGTTGGTGTCCCATTTGAAAAAAAAATAAATAAATAAAGCGAGAAAAAGAGACGAGGGAGCGACGCACACTACTAATGTCGCATAGCTATCGATAGTAAACTGTCGACAGCACTATCGATAGGTTTACGATAGTCGACTATCGATAGTTTTCTGATAGTCGCTTAACAACAATTTTCCGATCGTCGAGTATCCATAGATTTTCGATAGTCGACTATCGATAGTTTTTCGATAGTCGACTATCGATAGTACTATCAATAGTTTTTTTACTATCGATAGTCAAATTTCTGGCGACTATCGATACTATCGATAGTACTATCGATAGTTTTGCACCACTAACTCTAGGCCATTGTAGGGTGCCTCAATGAATGCGCCTCTGTCCAGGGTTGAGACCAAGGAGCAAGTTGTCCGCATCTTGCTTAGGAGTTGCGGCAGAGGCGGTCCCAAACATTGGTCCTAGGGCTCTAGCCGGGGGGGCAATCATTTAGGCAGCGGGGGCGACCATAAAATCCGCGGCGGACGGAGCCCAGGATATTATGTCGCCACCGTGTCACACGGTGCCGTGTACGCGAAAAGGACCTCAAAGTGACGGGCAACACAATCCTCTAAAGAGAGATGACAGAACTCGAAATAATCTGTGAGGTGTGGCTAGTGTACATCGTTGAAGTCAACTTGCCACTTCCAGTGAACAAGAGTGCTCCCACATTCTTCAAACAACACAAAAACACCACCGAAGAAGTTTGAGACGGAACGATTTCCCCCCTCCCCTTCCCCCTGCCCGATACGGAAAGATCGCCGTGCATTGGCCTCTTATGCGTCCATGTGTTTACGCGATGTATCAATAACTTGTAACATTGTGAGTGTTTCCTGAAATATTACGAGGTTTCATGCTAAAGGCAGGATCTTAGTACAAACGGTTAATAAATTATGAGTCTTCGCGCTATAAAAAAATAGAAAGACCCTTTGGATTATCTAAACATATATTCGTTTTTGATTGTCCGCAAGACTTACACCATATCCAGAGAGTTTGCAATATATATCTCCTTTGTAATAGAGAGCAAGCCAGCAGTTATCAGCACCAAAAAAAGGCAAATCTGAAAAAAAAAAAAAAATGTTATGAAGGTACAGCGAGGCAAGGAGATTAATGTGAGTTTTAGTATTGCGTATACGATCAAACGCTAGCATTGATAGTAACCCCTGGAAAAGGGGAACAAGGGGGGCAAAGGAAAAACATAGATCTCGAATCCGTGCAAATACCAAAACATAGTTTGGAGATTTCTGTTTGTGCTTTGCCCCGTTGTTCCACTTCTCCAGGGAATCTTATCGTTATTCTTGTCCAGCTCGCTTGCACCTTTGCAATAATTGCATTATCATAGCATGCACTGTGCTTTGCGTTAGCATTACGTAAAATGCTGGTACCTGTTAGTTTTGTAGTCACAAGTTTGCTTAATTAAACTTTGATATCAAGTTCCACTTTTGTCAATCATTTTATTAGTAACAAAATTCATCTCAAGTTAATCAATAAAACATTTTCATGTCAGATTTGCAAATTGGGTGACCTGCACAAAACGTCCGATGAAACCAATAAACATCATCATCTGTTGTTTTTAGCACTAGAGATTCGGTACATTTTTAATAACTGATTGCTTAACTATCTCTACAGTTTCCAAAACTGCAACACCCCGGGGGGTTGCGACAGCTCCATCTGCTACATCCAAGATAATGCACTTCCTTGAACGCTTTTGTATCGAAACAATATTAGCACTTTAAGACTGCAGCGTTTGTATAAGACTCCTTAAGGTACCCTGAGGACTGGTGTTTTATTCGTTCAATTTTATGTACCCTGAGGAGGTGTCTGATATCGCCTAAATATGGCAATAACTCACTCCAGGCTCTAAGCAATCTAGAAATCTCTAAATCATTACGATACGCGGCCTATTTCCCTACTAAAAGTAAAATACAATCAAATATCGCAACACACCGAGCTCGTCTTCGGCGATAGGAGGCGCATATTCCGAAACAAGGACCACTGTCAGACAATGGCAGGCGAAGTATCCTGGTGCCTACCGGCCGGTGGAACCGCGGAGTGATATCTCGAATGCGCGCGGCTTGCTTCCCTTACAGCCCGGACCACGATTCAACACAGCGCGCGCGCTCGAGAGCTGACGACCTGACACATCACTCCCGCGGAAGACTAAAATTAAAGAGAAACAAACACAGTGCTCTCTTTATGATACGATTATTGCAATAAAACGTTCCCTCTCGGCGAAAAGCTAACATTTTTCGCCTACTCTCTCATTTGCTTTTATCATCTACAAAAGCATACAGACTTTGTAATAACAGCGTTTGCAATCTCGACGATTTGTCAAGTTTTCATTGGTCGCGTGTCGTCCTGGCTTCCGGAACAACGCTCCTTCCGTCGCGAGAGATGAATTCGGTGCGATCAATCTTTGCTTTTTAAATAGGGAAATCGGCCGAGCATCGCAATGATTTATGAATTTTCAGGATGCTTAAAGCCCACAGAGAGTCATCGCCGTGTTCGTACGACCTCAGAAACCTCTTCAGGGCACCTTTAAATAGTGTGCGATGCACTGTCTTTCTTTTGGTCAGGTGTGAATTAACACTACTTGTTCCAACCACATCAGACACCTGATGTTCTAAAGCATTGGTTGCAATGTCAAACGACGTTCAGAGAGCAGCGGTGGTATTCATTGACAGGTGTTTCTTCAAGAAGTAAACCTGGCAAAACATATTTCGAAAGAAAGCAGAAAAAAAGTGTTATATATATATATATATATATCTTTATACGACTTACGTCCTTGAGATGCCGGTAGACCAAGAACCACGGCGAAAAGTACGAACAGCATGTTGCTTGTATTGCGAAACATAATCACAGTCTAACGGGAACGTAATCCTAAAAGAGAAAGATTAATATGCATATAAGCTCTAAACTCGACAGCGTAATTTTTTTCTCGGAATGTAGAGTTAACGTTCTCAAAGGAGAGCTCCTGCTAAATATCAATGGTCATCGATTTTTATAAAACATTCAGCGTGCACTAAATATATACCCTTGAATAAGTTTATGAAATATCTGATTAAAAAAATCACTTTCTTTTGATAAAACAAATTATGAAGTTTACGCATCCGAATCACAATCTTCCGCTGTACTGGCAACACCGAGCAGTGGCGACATTGATTTTGACGTCAAATGATGCATCCAAAAGCTGACGCTTCCTCCTCGTTGTGTGTTGTAGCAACCGGAAGTATGCGACAAGACAGTGGCGCCACGGTGCAGCTCCTGGCAAAAGCATTTCGTGTTGAATGCGACCAGACTGGCATAGACATTTCTGTGTAGCAGTTAACTTTAGTTTCTAGGGCTGACTTAGCTTAGCACAGCACTACGTTCAGGGCCGCACTCTGCGCTAAATCTTTTTACACGAGACCGCGAATTCGAGAACACAGATCCTCTCCATGAGCCGACAAAAACCGTCGCGATCATCTCAATTCCAGCACGTCTACGCAATCCGCCGGCAAGCGAGGAACAATTTAATATTAAGAAAGGCGAAAAATACTTTTCACGTAAATTTTATCAATTACTGGCTCTGATGAATGTCGTCTCGTAGTGATTTCCAGACCGCCGCGAACGCGAACGCTTCGCGGAGGAATTTTCCAGAGTAGATAGAAGAAAAAAAATTCCGTTGCTTAGCTCGGCTATGCCAGGATATACGTATAGCGTGAGCTTATGCGCACAAAATGAGAGGCGCTATCCAGCGGCTCCGGTGCAGCGTCAGACTTGGCTACTGCGCAACGGAGGCGCACAGCTGGGCACGCGGCGGCGCCAGTGCGTCTGCCGCGGCTATGACGTCACTCCTCTGGAATGCCCCGACCGGCGAGGCGGGCGCGGCGGTGGCGGCTCCGGCGCGCCAGCTGTGCGCCGTGTGACGTCACTACTCCTCGCTCATACGCAGCACGGAGCACGGCTCATTATGCGAGCCACGCGAAACTGCTCAACATGGGCCAGTGTATTTGAAGCTACAAAATATTCAACCCTTCCACTCTGGTGAACAAGAAAGAGCAGCGGAGCCGTAGCTTCTGTTCCCGGCGGTGGCTTTCCAGGCGAGCGATCTGCTCTTCTTTCGAAAGGGAATCTGAAGCGCCCGACGCAGTCAAACTTTAGGCAATAGCGGCCTCGCAACGGTTGAGAAACCATTCGCGCTGCTGCACACATTGCCACTCGTTCCGGTTCCCGCTCTTCACCCTCCGAAAAAATGCCGCGCTCTATGAGCGATTGCGGCAAGCGGAGAACCGGCAAACACAACACTCTGGACACCTACCGCCATCTATGAGCGACGGTGGCAACCAGTTTTGTGTCGACATTTCTTTGCGGGGGACACGATCCTGGGGAAACTAGCCCTTAACAGCTCTGCTGTAAAAAACCTGGCGTCGTGTGGCCGCTGTTGACGCTTACAACTGTGGGACGCACGACAGAACCCGAATTCCGAGCAACTCCTGCGGGTCGAATGAAGTGAGAACACACACACAAAATGCTGGACAGTGTGGGTTTTCGAATGTCAGGATGTCCCACCTTTACTCCTGTCTCCTGAGCGAGATCGAGAAACACGACCGCGGGAAGGCGCAGACGCGGCGAAGATGCTGCGGGCAGAGATCCGGGCGGGAACAGCCTCATTAATAGCGAGTTTTAGTAGACCGTGTTTCCCGCCCCGCTAGGCCCCTCCGCTATCCGGAACTTTACAGACAAGGCCATCGGCGCGCAGGCGCAGTGGCAGTTTCTTCGTAGCGGAGGGCTAGCGGAGGGGGAAACACGGTCTACTAAAACTCGCTAATGGCGCGTTCACACTGGAAGCGGATCCGCAAACGCGAAGCGGATCCGCAAACGCGAAGCGGATCCGCGCGTTCTCAACCGCAAAGCGGCTAGGATCGAGCGGTTGGAGCGCGTTTCTGCCAACCGCTTCGGGACCGATTTCTCCCATCCGATTTCACGAACCGCAAAGCGGCAACCAATCGCAACGCGACGCTGACGTGACGTCAACGACTTTTAAAACAAGATGGCACCTGTCGCTGCTGAGGCGTCCAAGGCGCTGTAGTCCTAGCGTTACAGCAGACAAATCAACGAAGAAACGTGATGTTCACGTCCGTCACTTGAATCCGGTGCGAAAAGAATTAACTCGGAATTTTAACGGGCTTCGCACCGGTCATTTGGTTTGGGTAAGAGTTTGTTTATAACTCCCGAGTGCCACAGCCCGAAGCTCGCTCTCTTGTTAGTCTCTGCTCGTAGAACGTCGGAACCCACCCCTGAATGACCGAAATGTCAGCTTTTGTAACCACTAAGATAGTCGCGTGAACTATTGAAATCTTTCGACACCGTGGATAACTACCACGAAGGGCGATAGAAACGTCGTGAGCCTGATTGCGCAGCCAACGCACTATCGCGGAGCGGGCAGGGCAGCTCGACCTGTAACGTTTACTACTAACAAAAGAAATAAAGAGAACCTACTCGAGGAATAAAGTGTACGTACCAAATTATGCAGAGGTAATCCATACGGCGTTTATTTGAGCTTAATATCAAACAAAAAGTAGACTTGATTGATGTGCGAGTGACGAGACCACCAACGAAGCCACGACCGGGCACCGAACACCTTCCCCCGCAGCCCGCACCGTGACCAAAGTTCACCCCTCCTCTCACATCTTCGAAAATGATAAGAGCGAACGATGGGGAAAAACTGGCCCTCTATCCCGAAAGCAAGGTCAGCTATTCATGCGGGAAGCGTCCACTTCGAAGAAAAGGTCGGGGGCATCCTGTTCTGAGTCAGCAAGGCGCGCCTAGCTGGGCTTTTGCTTGTGGGCGAAGTCGAGGGAATCACAGGCGAGGTTGGCGGGTCCATGCTTTTGTTTTTCGCTGCCTGAACTTGTAATGCGTGCGAAGATCCCGGAGAAAAATCTTCATAGTGCCAAAATAGAAAAATGTTGGCTTTGGATCGTCGATTAAAGTGGATTTTGGATTGCAAAACAGGGTTGCCAAACGCAAGTCTCAAAATATCACGCGTGATCGCCGAGAAGCCGCCAACCGCCTCTCGGTGTGTCTGAACGGGGTCTCTCGCGAACCGCATCCGTAGCCGCTTCGCGAACGCGGATCCGCTTCCAGTGTGAATGCTCCATAAGCGCGGACGCTGACGTTGCTGTCGCTGCCAGCCACTGGCTTCCCGCGTGGTTTCCCGCGCCCCGCCTAGATGTCGCACGCTCTCAATAGTTAGCTCCTGTTAGCTTTGTGTACTGTGTTTGGTGTGCGATGGACAGAAAGAGGAAAGGGGGGGGGGGGGGGGTATTGCCACTTTGCTAGGGGGTACAACACCGCGAAGAAATACAGCAGAGTAACATATCAGGGGTTGAAGTCCGAAAAATGTCTGCGATGGAAGAAGGCATGGCCAGTGCGACGCGAACGCCGGCTCTCAGCGTTCGCGTAAACAGTTCGCATTGGGTTAGCGAACAAAATTCCAGGAGGCACCTGGGGCCACATATCGTCGAATCGCGAATGCAAACTTATAAAAAACGTATGCAAAAAAAAAAAAAAAAAAGATTAGACAGCCTGAATGGGTAAAGTACGTCCTAGAATAAATTCACTACGAAAACTTTTTTTGAAGCCATATTTACCGCGCGAAACGAATTTGTAGTTAGCGTCCGCGGAAGCCGGCACTAATCACGTGGTGGACCTGTGCGCAGCCGCAAGTTTCGCTGGCGCCGTTCAGCCTGGCGATGAAGTTCCCAGAACCAGAACCCCCACGCCGCCGCCGCAAGCTTCGCACGCCGAGCGTGGCGCGCCGCCGGCTGAACGCGTCTTCTGCGCCGCCGCCGGAATTGAACACTTCGTCGCGCCGGCGCTGTCGAATTCCGACAGGCGCTCGGGCCTATCACGTGGTGCTTGCGCTATTTCGGGAGCTTCGAGTGGGCTTTAAGAATTTCTTTTCAATCTTGTTTTTTTTTTTTTTTTTTTTTTGTTAAGACGAAAATTATTAAATAACTTTTGAGGCCCACAGGAAGCTCCTGAAAGAGCGCAAGCACCACGTGACTATAGTGGCCAGTCACGTGACTCTAGTAGCCACTTTTCAGCGGCCTCCCATGAGCGCACACTATAAAATTCATTTCGCGCCGTAAATATCACCCTAAATTATTTTGTTTGCGTTGTAAATTTGCTTTACGACATCCTTTTTTCATTCAGCTGTTTAATTTGTTTTCCTTGGCATCTGTCTTTTAACGGGTGGGGTGCCACGTAGGGAGGCGATGACGGCCGATCAAATGCGAACGGCGAATTGTTTAAAATCTCATGTTGAACTTGAAACATTTGCTGGTCGTTGCATGACACGGAAAAGCTTAACGAAACTTATTCCATTGTTTTCCAAGGACGATCGCGACGGCTTCTCACGCAGGGCGAGGCAGGCTCAAGTTTCCCTTATGTGCTAATGTTTATGAAACATCTGACGTTAAGGCAAGGTGGCGGACTGCCAAAGTTAATACTGATATTGTGGTACGTATAGCCCCGTTTATAACACGAAACAAGGTCCAAAGAGGCCGAAATATATCTGCAATGTTGTACAAAGGATATTTTTGAAGATGTCAACCGGAATATTGAATTTATAATTGTTTTGAAGCCAGATATAAACCAAATAAATATTAAGATGGGACTAGCAAAATAAACAGCGAACAAAATCCCACTTGCAACACGGATTCTCCAATGCTTTGATATACCACTCTCGTAATTGTATTTTTTTTTTCAAACGGTGCACTGTAACATAGGTTCAAAAGGACAAAACCAGACATGGACACGTTACCCCCAAAAGTCAATAAATACCGCGACTCCCTTATTCGGTCAAAAACTAACTAAATACTTATTACAGA